CAAAAATGAAATAGATTAAAAACTTAGCTTAAATATTAATTTAAAATAAAATTTAGCTCCTTTCCTTAGGAAATAAAGTCTCCATATCTATCCCTCTCAAATTAGTCGAGAGTGAGTCCGACACTATACAAACGGAGACAACGTAACCACAGCAACCTTTATAACCACAGAAGAAAAACAGCCTGTCCGCAAAGACAGGCATGAAATGACATAGTATTTAATAATCATACAGGCATAATTACTCTAAGAATACATCACGACACACGAAAAACTTTATTATATCTAAATAATATAATCTCCTTAGGAAATATTTTATGAACTAGATATTTTTCCATAAAACTACTTGTAAAGAACTAAGACTGTTAGATACTTCTTAAAGCAGTTAAAGGAAAGGTAATATGTTGGTTATAGTTTTTTTAAATATACAAGCAATTAGTATTCTTTCATGGAAAACAGTATAAATATTTTCTTGATTTTCAATACTTAAAACATTATTTGATAGAACAAGATAAAATTTAATAGTCTATGTTCCAAGATTCTATAAATAAAGGGATGTGTGTGGCCGGCCTGTGGCTGAGTGGTTAAGTTTGCGCACTCCACTTTGGCTGCCCAGGGTTTCCTGGTTCAGATCCTGGGCACAGAAATGGCATTGCTCATCAAGGCATGCTGTGTCAGCGTCCCACATAGCAGAACCAGAAGGACCCACAACCAGAATATACAACTATGTACTAGGGGCTTTGGGGGAAGAAAAAAAAGGATGTAAGACCACAAGAGAGATAAAACAAACACTTGGTGAATGCTTACTAACTGCACTTAACGTCCTCTGTCCTCCTCTGGGCGGCCCCAGAAACGAACATTATCACATTTATTTTACATATTAGAAAATTAAGGCCTAAAGAAGCTAAATAATTTATTCAAGTTAGATAGGTAATAAATGGCAGAGCTGGGGTTTAAACCAAAGTGTGAATCCAAAATCAAAATCAGTGTTGTGTTATATTACATTGCACCTCAACTTATTTAAACACGTACATTAGACTGGTACAAGAGGATGGACCACCAAAAATACACTCTTAGAAAGGGACGGGCCTGTCGGTGGTGCAGGGGTTAAGTGCGCATGTTCTGCTTTGGCAGCCTGGGGTTCACCAGTTCAGATCCCAGGTGTGGACACGGCACTGCTTGGCAAGCCATGCTGTGGTAGGCGTCCCACATACAAAGTAGAGGAAGACAGGCACGTATGTTAGCTCAGGGCCAGTCTTCCTCAGCAAAAAGAGGAGGATTGGCAGCAGTTAGCTCAGGGCTAATCTTCCTCAAAAACAAAACAAAAAAAAAAAGAAAGAAAGGGAAGAGGGAAAGCCAGACTACATACAGTTTCTAGCCAAAAAGAAGGTTGATGGAAGCAGCATTCTAGAAGAGATGTGAGGGGAAAGTTAGTTACCTAACTTAATTCATGAGGTCAGCCGTTTCTTTCATCTACAGAAAACCATCAATTATCTCATTTCAAATAAAAATCACCTTTGTAAAGAAAGTTTCTAGCCAACATTATATCAATGTCCTGATTTCATCATTCTACTTTGTTATCAGTTCTAAATCTCTCTGCCACTGCTATCCATGTCCCTGAGACTAAGAAAACCTTAAGTAGGGGCCAGCCCCGTGGCACCATGGTTAAGTTCACATGTTCCGCTTCAGCAGCCCGGGGTTCACTGGTTCAGATCCCGAGTGCAGACCTACGCACCGCTTGTCAAGCCATGCTGTGGTGGCGTCAAACATAAAATAGAGAAAGATGGGCATGGATGTTAGCTCAGGGCCAGTTCTCCTCAGCAAAAAGAGGAGAATTGGTGGCAGATGTTAGCTCAGGGCTAATCTTCCTCAAAAAAAGTGAAAACAAAATCTTAAGTAAATTCTTAAGCCACTCCCACAAATTCTTAACAGTCTTGAGAGGAAGATAAAGAGAAAAGAAGATACAGTAAAACGTTTTACTGGTCTGTAACCTTATTTTTTCAGACCTGCTGAATGAGCTGGTTTCAAACTGCTGGGCAAGGCTAAACAGGGATGGCCACAGGGTGGGCATTCAACTTGCAAAACAATTGTAGGAATTTTTCCTAAGTTTAATGTTTTCAGTGTACTCACCACAATAAACTCATCCAGCAATCTTGAAATTAAATTCTACCTCTCACTACTGACTTCCTACTACTATAGAAGTTTTTAATCCTGTTAGTAGAAATTCAACTTAAAAATAATCTTTGTTTTGGGAAAAAACATGAAGATATAAAATTTATCCACTATTCTCAAAGTGTATACACTGTGAATAGAGCAAAATCTTCTCTAATTAAACAGCCACTCTGTTCCAATCATTCTCAGAACATCAGTTATTTCTGTGGCTCAAAAAAATCCAATAGCCATGTTGCACTGGGACTACTTTTTGTGGTGGGTCAAATTCCCCAAGTGGAAAGGAGGTGGACAACACAACTCCTGAGTATGTGCTCATTCCTGAGAGAGGCAAGGGACTCTTGATCCTTTGCCTTCAGCATCCAGTTGCCAAGAAGCTACTTGTGGGGGATGAGGACAAGCCGGAGAAATTCTACCTTAACACTGAAATCCCAGCCAACGTGATCACCAAACTAACACGGAAAAAGGCATTAGTCATAAACATACAGATCCCAGAGTTATTGGTTAAATTCCTAAAGTTTAAATCCTGGTCAAATGCAAAAAGCTGGACTCCTTTACTGCAGATTGTCAAATGAAACAATATGACTTTAAGTAGAATCTAAAATATGAAGAGTAACTTGATTCAGGGCAGTAGGGGCTAGGATAATAGCTCCAAGTAGAAGCCTCAGTTCCAGAGCTGTTTCTTACTAGTTCTGGCTAGTTACATCCACCACTTGCTCTTCCTCTGAAGATCAATGACCTTGGACTGCACGCAAGGCCATTAGCTAGGCAGCAAACGCTAACAAAAACCCATGCAAATAAGATTACCATGATACAACTAATGCAGGCAACTGGGAAGCATCAGCACCTCAAGAGCAAAGCCCTGCACAGAAACGGAGTCTACCCACAGGGACAGTCTGATTAATTAAAAGAGCAATATAAGCAAAAAGAAGCTTCATTTTTATCTAAAAATCATTTTTATCTAAAAAGTTTTAAATGGAATCTCACTTGAGGGCTATTTTTAAAAGAGCCTCTCACTACATAAAACAAAGCCAAAATGACTTCTAAAACATAATTATTCAACCACACACATTTCTGAAGTTGTTAGTTTTATATAAACAATTAAATTGTACAACACTATGAAGTGAAAAGGATATAAAATTAGACTTTTGTATTATCAAAGTCTCTAGAAGTACACTGTCTAATACAGTTGCCACTAACTACATGTGGCTATTTGAATTTAAATTAATTAAATATAAATAAAATGAAAAATTCAATTCCTCAGTCACATCAGCCATATTTCAAATGCTCAAAAGCCACATGTGGTTCGTGTAGTGACTACACATTGGAGAGTATAGATATAGAACATTCGCATCAACACAGAAAGTTCTATTGCACAATGTTACTCTCTTAAAGAAATCTGCCACAAAAATGGCATAGAACACAATATCCACACAATCAAAAATCAAAATAGAAATAGAAATGTTCTGTATCTTGACTGTAGTGGTGGTTCACTCGTATACATAATGTCAAAACTCACCGAAGTGTACATTTTCGATGGCTATAGTAATGTATGTAAATTATTCCTCAATAAAGTTGATAAGGAAAAAAAGAATAAACATCTGACCACCGATGAATTCCAAAGTAAAAAACAAAAAATACTCAGAGTGTGTATAGGAAGTTCCAAAGTCCTGACAACTTGATTCCATATTCCTTCAGCTGAGACCCTGGTACATCAGTCTGGGGTGTCCCAGCAAGAGTGGAGGGCAGATGGCTACAGCAGGGAGGTAAGTGCACATCTGCCTACGGTCAGAGGTGAGGGAAGCAGAGATCCAAGACACTGTGGAAAGTATGGGACATTGTATGCAGCCCTCCTAAAGTGGACTACCACATCCTAACCTCAAACCAGCCAATAAAGTACACAAATTTTTTAAATTCCACCACTCACTGGGGGGCCACTGAAGATGTCAAGTAATTCGTACAGAGTTGTAAGGTGTACAGCCTCACAAAGATCTCCTTAAAATGATTAAAGAAACTGGGAAAGAGAAAAAACCATGCAAAATATTTAAAGATTTAATTGCCGAGAATCAGAAGAGCCAGGTATTACCAATCCCAATTCTACACGAGTTAACTATCAGTCAGCTGATAAAAGTCAATAGTTCTAAGTTAGGATCACAGCTGGTCATTAACACCAACTCCACCTCCTCCTGCCTCTAACAGAGTGGCTACAAACAAGCAGTCACTCTAGGCACAACCAGCTCTCCAAAAGGAGACAGAAGACTGAAAGAGGAAGGAAAACAACAGCAACAGTCAGGCTCCCCTTCCCGGAGGAACTCAGTCAAGAACAACGGTTCTCAAATTTGTTCAGGCGACAGCAACACCTGGTAGTCATGACATGCCAAGATCTATTAGTATAACAACATTTAATAACTTTTATGTTAGATATTTTATTCAAGCATTTCTATTATCACTAGTAGTTGTCAAAAGATTACTAAAAATTAGGGAAAATGTTCAATATATGGGAAATGGTTAAGAATATTACGGTATATTAGCTTATAATATTTTACACCATTAAATATGATTAGGAACACTGACGATTATGAACATTATGATGATTACGAACACTATGGCAACATGAAAAACAGAATCAAATGAAAAAGCAAAGTACACTGTATCTATAGTATGTACACATATAAAAAAGGACTAAAAGAAAACATAAATCAAAATTGCTTGATTTCTTAGACTGTGCATTTTTTCTCTTATGTAGATATCCATTACTGTTGCTATAATGGTACTTGTGTAGTACAAAATAAAAATTTTAAATATTTATAAACACAAAGAGTTAACACACTTACCACAGTGGGATTGCCACTACTTATCAACTGGCTGACTTCATGAAAAATGCTTTTGCAGTCAATTGATTTATCTAATGATCCTCGTTTTACAATTACTGCTACTGCTAACAGAATCTGTTCCCGAACATACTTTTGGAGGCTGTAAAACATAAAAACCATTGTGAAAACTTTTACATAAATCTAATATAAAAATACTCCAAAATTTCTCACTATGCCTGAAGCTACTAATAACACTGCTGACATCCGAGAGCAGTATAGCCTACTGGTTATGCACAGACTTCAAAGCCAAAAGACCTGGGTTCTAATCCGCGCTCCATTATTTTCTGGCCATGTAACCCTGGGCAACACAATTAACACTCAGAGCCTCAGCTTTCTCATCTGGGAAATGGGGATAACAGTAACAGAGTTGTTACAAGGATTAAATGTTCTTAAAACCGTGCCTAGTGCATACTAAGCACTATAAAAGTGTCAGCTGCTTCAGGCAGCGTTCAATAGTCAGTCAGTTCACTAAGAGCCAGATTAAGATTCTACCAATTAAGAGAGAAATTCTGATCTAATATCCATATCCAACCAATAGTAAAATTCATTCCCTTTAATGTGAAAAGGTAACATGCTGGCTATCCAAGATACAACATTACAGAAACACATAAATTCTAAAAAAAACTTTTTAAATTTTCCTATCTAAGCAGCACCACTCCCAAGTGGAGGCATTCCACAAAGCCCATTAGACCACAATGGCATAGAGATTTAAGTGCCTTTTCACAACTGCCTCTTAAAGGTAAGGCTCAGAAAACATAACTCTGAACTTTATAATCTGGCCTCTAAAACGCCATAAGGATATGACAACCATGTGCCCTTGGGATAAAACCCAAATTCTTTAACATGGCTTATAAGCAGTGGGACCTATCCCAGCTCTCCTGGGACACTGCCAATTTACCTGTTGTCCAACATAATTATTAAACAGCGATTTCTTTTACTCTGAAAAGTGCCCCTGTTTGGACATAAATGATACGGTCACCCACTTCTAAGGCCCTTCATGGCCAGGTCCCTGCTCCCCTCTCTAATCTCACCCCTTCCATGTACACTCAAAAGTACAGACATACTGAACTTCTTTCAGTGCCCGGCACAATGCTCATGCAGTTCCAGGCCTCTGAACTATGCCCTCTTCTAAGCCTGTGATGCCACTTTCTCCAGAAAGCATTCCCGGACAGCTCCTCTACACATGGCCGGTCACTGCTAAGGAGGGCTCCCTCCACACCTCACATAACATAAAGCATCTGTTACTATGAGTTTAACCTGATCTCCCAGACTGGCTGCCAGGCTGAGCACACTATTGTAGTCCCACAGTAAAGTACACTGCTTGCCACATAACAGGCATTTATCAGACATGTATACAAACGAACAAACATACCTCCCTGAATCAAGACAGAAGTGACAAACATTCCTTTGAAACATACACACATGAAGCATTCATTAAGAAAATAAATGCAGAGAGATCCTATTATGCACAAGAATATGAGTCGACCAAAGGGAATCTGTGCACTTTTGGGGGAATAACAGTTTCAAACACACTAACTACTATTAGGAAATACACACAAAGCTGAATACTACTACTAGAAATGTAAGTAAAGCTAGTTTTAAATATCTCTATTGGCAAGAATTATAAATTACTAAGAAAATAAATAATAATAGCTAACATTGAGTGCCTATGATATGCAAGACTTTACATAAAATAACTTCACAAAAATTAATACATTCCATCCTCACAAAAATCTTTTGAGTAAGTACTCAACCACTATGCTAAACTGCCTCTTTAAAAAAGTGTACCCTGCCTTTCACCTTATGCAAATTTTATCTCAATTAGGAGGAAAACAGAAAAAAGAAAGAATTCTGTGAACGCAATGGAAGCACACAACATTACGTATGTACTATTCTATACTCCATAACCCGTAGCATTCCACCTAGGCAGTATACCAAAAAGTTTTAACTTGACTCTAATCTATACTGTAGGACACGCTACAAGATAAAAATGTCTGTCGTGAAAGACAAAAAAGGGGAGAATTACTCTAGATTAAAAGAGACTAAAGAGACATGACAAGTAAATACAATGTGTAATCTATGGTTAAATCCTGGATCAAAAAAATAACCTATAAAGGAGGAAAAGGATATAAATAACATTATTCAGACAACTTGGGAAATGAGAACATGGAATCAGAATTATATTAGATAATATAAATGCCAATCATAAATACCAAGGGGATTGAGATTATGCTCTTAGGAGAGACATGCTGAAGTACTTAAGGATGAAGTGTCATGATTTCTGTGGCACACTTCAGCTGGTTCAGGGGAAAATACATGCATATATATATATATATGAGAAATCAAATACGACAAAATGTTAACTGAGCCTCTACTAGGGAAAGGATATGTGTGTGTTCACTGTACTATTCTTTCAACTTTGCTGAAAGTTTTTTACTTTTTTCAAAATAAGAGTTTGGGAGAAAATACATAAGTGAAATATTTCGATGTGGAACCCACAATCAACTCTAAAATAGCTTCTGAACTAAAAAAAATTATTCCAGGGTGAGATTATTTTGGATAATATAAGAGATCACACATGCACACAATCAAAATCTGTCACATATTTAAGTCTACCAAAGCTCTCCCGATTTTCAGTGGTCCCCATTTTGGGGGGTGGGGGGGAAACTGTGATAAATGAGCAGCTCTAGGGCAAGCCAGTATCACACCCAAAAGGCCTCATCAAATACCAAATTGAAATTTAAATAAAGAAAACCAGCATGAAGGAGAAGAGAAAGGTGTGAGACTGGGCAGGTTTTCCTTATTCTGTTAAAACCGGAAAAAATAAGCCATACGCTCCCCGTATATGCAGTCATCTAGAGGACACACTATCCCTTAAACCTGTAATGCTAATAGGTTTAAGCAAACCATGGTTTCTTCCTCTCGTGCATTTTTCTACATGTAAAGCAGTTAGCAATTAACTGAGTGCTAAAGTCACACCAGTAATTATTATTAAACATTATGAACTCAGAGACTGCTAAGTGAAGAGTCAGTAGGAACAAAGGGCTGACAGTATGCTCTAAATTATTTTTAAAGTGTTGTGCATGTTGATTGCCATTAATCAATATTCCTAATTACCAGCATTTCCGATTGCATAATAAACACTTTCTTCACTGAACTGGAAATGAACATCTACGCAAAAAGTACTGAATTGCACCAAGAGCACACATACAATGTACTTCTTCTTCTTCAAAGAAGACTTGGTGTTTGGGGGGCTTTAAATTGTAAATGAATTTCTCTCAAAACTTGTGTGGCTGATAATTTCCCTCATTTTTTAAAAAAAAAATCATACAAGCAATAAATGCACACAATCTCATAAAACGTTCAAACAATATACTGTGCATAATATAAAAAGAAAATTCATTCACTCCATGCCTCAAACCGAATCCCTTCTCCAAAGGAAACTGTCAAAGAATTTGGTGCTTTTTCTTCTGCAGCCTTTTTACTACACATTTCTATGTAATACCTGGTTTGTTAATAGTATCTGATTTCCCCCCACCCTGTCTCGGGATATTCACTTGTGTCTTATCATACTTACCTAGCACCAAAAGAAGAACAAGTATAAAGGATTTTTCACTGAGTCCAAGATCAACTTTTATTTATAACCCAAATCTTCAGAACTTAACAACAACAAAACTTAACATCCAGCACGATCTTTTCAAAGAAACAAAACCTAGTATTATAAGCTTAAATAAAAAGTATTATTTAAGTACCAAAACAACCTACAATCGTGTGTATGAATCTTGAAAATATGACCCCACAGACCTTAACCATAAACACCTATCATTAAAAAATGAAGAAAAAACGCAAACAAAAAACGCTCAAAAAGGAGCAGCTCAGCAGAAGTATTTCAGCAGCCACTCCTCCAGGTACTTACTTAGGCCTCTGTAAGACATAGGTTAAAAGGAATGTTCTCAGGGACTCGATGCTACCTTTCTCCAAGAGAATCCACTCTCGGACAACTGCTTCCATTATGGCTGTGGCAGCTTGAAAGAGGACATAGTCCACTTTACTTGTTTCTGAGGAGAAAATTAGAAACTTTTTTAAACAGTAGCTCATCTTCCCTTGAACATTTTGCATTTATTAATTTTAAAACGGAACTTTTCAGACAAGGAATAAGATGGTTACCTGTTCTTTTTTTTATCCAGTGACCTTGCTCTAGCACCACAAAGAGGTTAGTTCCTCTCAGAAGACACCTCAGGCAGGTGGCAGCTAATCACCGATCACAATTTTCACAAACTTTCCTCACCTCTCTTCAACTGTTACTTCCAAAGCATGAAGAACTAAAAAATAACACAGCTTTAAAAAAATAAAAATAAAAATATAAAGCTATCAGAAAATTTCCTAAGAGATTCTCACCCTGTGCAAAATAGAACTTTGTATCTGCAAAATATCTTCATAAACTAGTCTTTGAACATTACTATTTGTGATGAGCCATGCTGTTAAAATATTTCAGTTTGTTAAGTAATTAAGCTTTCAGCAGTATGACTCATCTCCAATAGCAAGTTCAGAAATAAACACAATCGCATCCAGGTTATTTTTCTCAAAATGTTAAAAAAATAAAAAAGAGTCACATTTACACAAGGTGAGAAGTTCTTGTAAATTTTCTGATTGCAATACTGATCAAACTGAGTAAAATCCCAAAGCTACACTTAGAAAGATCCAGCCTTAACTGGCAAGTTATAGTATCTGAACTAAAAACTGAATCAGGAGGGGGAAAGAATAGAAAATTAACATATCTAAGAAATACTTTATATTAATTTTCTATTTTTTCTTTTATTCACCAATACCACTACAATCAGTTTCCAAACAGCATTACCAAAAGGGAGAAACAGTCAAAACAAAGTCAAGAAAAAGCAGAAGTTTTCCAAAGCTCTAAAAATAACCATCATGCGAATCCATGAAAAGTCTGTGGTTAGACTCCAGATTATTTGCCAAGATCACTAGACATGAGTATCTGAAAGTTGTGAGAAATCAGCTCTAGGCATAGAATTTATTTCAAGAATTTATCAGAAGAGCATGAAGATATCGTCAAGTACATCATTTTCTTTCCTATTCAAGCTCAGGTCATTTAAAAATCTTACAAATGATCTTCACACAATTAACTATAAAATTGTGTGAGAAAAAGGCATACCCTACATAAATTTCTTTCACACTAGATTACTACATAGGAATTTTGAACATACCAAAGCTAGTAAGAGGAACCAATTTGGACCTTTATTTTTTTAAAGTCTCATTATTCCATGCTATCTTAACATGAATTCTAATTAAGATGATAAGCAGAACTCACAAAAATTTAGAAATCTTAAAATATAATCAATAATTGAAGCGACAGCTTCCAAAAATGTAAACCTATTATAAAAAGATGTGCTCAAAGTTCTAAAAGAAAAAAAATAAGTGAATTTATTCAAAGAGGATTTGAAACAGAAACCAGCTATATCTACTCAGATCACTTGATGAGAAACATGATACGCTCCATAAAGGTAATTCAAATAATCTCTGATTATAAACCTCATCTTGAAAGAAAATGATGGTTGTGTGCCTATCTTCATTTTCTATTGCAATGGTAAAAATTTTAAGGACAAGAAACCTGAAATCCTTAACCATGGATTTTAACAAGGAAGCAAAATCTTAAGGACTCAACAGAATTTTAGAAACAGAACTCCAAAGATCATCTAGTTCAATTCCTGCATTTTACAGTCGAAGAAACTGATGCACCAAGAGATTAAGAGAGGAAATTCAAGATCACATGGCTGGCAAATGTTCCTTGAGCAATACTAATCCACCCCTAAATGCATATGCCAATGAAGATAAGACCAAACAAGCCCCTTCTGCTTTTCATGAGCAGTCAAACATGCGTTTTTCTAATTATTTGTGCTTACACCCTAGGCTTTTTTTCAGGGTGGGGGGAAGCGCCATAATTACAGAAGGTGAGTGACATTCAAAAGATTTCCAGGGGCCGGCTCCACGGCCGAGTGGTTAAGTTCATGCGTTCCGCTGCGGCGGCCCAGGGTTCGGATCCTGGGCGCGGACATGGCACCCCTCGTCAGGCCACGTTGAGGTGGCATCCCACATCTCACAACTAGAAGGACCTGCAACTAAGATATACAACTGTGTACAGGGGCGCTTTGGGGAGATAAAGCAGGAAAAAAAAAAAAAGAAAGATTGGCAACAGTTGTTAGCCCAGGTGCCAATCTTTAAAAAAAAAAAAAAGATTTCCAGGTAACTCTTTTTCGTAGATACCTCTGCTGTACGGTATTAAATGAAAACCTCTAAATTACTACTCCCATAAGAATGGAGGAATCTGAAAAAAAAGAAACCCAAATTCCAAATTTGAAAGATGGAATTTTCCTAACCTAATAAACTACACTTTCTCATAAAAACTGTTATTAGCCTTCATACACTGCACTTATATATAAATGTGCAAAAAATGCTAGGAGGAACTGTAGACGCCTACCAGCAGAAGATGAGTTATGACTTCACATGGACACAGGAGCCTTACTCTTGCCCTGTGCTGTAAAGATACTTGAAATTGCAAGGTCTTCGCGAAAAACTTACAATTCATCTAGAATTTCTAATACTTTTAGGATGATCTTCCACTGACTGGGACACTGTCTACATGATAAATTATTTTAGGCTACTTTAGCAGGAAGCTTTCACTTCCTACCAAGGAAACTTTCTTTTATAATAATTACGTAAATAAAATTCATTTGTATCTTAGCCATCTGAATGAAACCAGACACAGAGCCCTGAAGACAAAATTAAAGTGAAGTAAATAATAAGAGAAGAGAAGCACTACATTCTGATCAAAAAAATATTTTTTAAAGAAAAATAAAACCCTAGTAGTAGTCAAGCCCCAAAAGTTCAGCTACTACAATCACCTCCTTGGCCTTAAAGATTTCTGCCCAAAGCAGGCAATCTGAGTTCCAAAGGCTGACTAATGATGCCTAGGTACACCAATAAGTCTCAGGTCTCATTTTGTTTTGTTCCAGCTACTACTGAGATAAGAAATTAAAGAAATCCATTTCTCCCTGAGAGAAGGACAAAAGAATGCTAAAGTTAGCTCCAGAAATGTTGAACGAATCCCTGTTTGGGGATATTTCTTCATAAGAACAGAACTCAGGTTTTTTAAAGGAACATCTGACCCTACAAAACTAGTAAAATCCTAAGTGCCAAAGACTTCTGAGGTGAAGAAGTCTACAAGTGCTCTTCTGACAAAACGCACAAGCATGCAACATGCACACGCGCACATGTGCACACACAGAAAAGTGCAAAAAAATTAAAACTAGAATGAAAACAGAAGGATAAGAAGAGAAAGAAATGAGCAAAAATAAGAAACATAATAAAACTTAAGTTAGAAGTGGGAAGGAAGAATTTATGAGACCAGAAAAGGGAAGCATCAAAGAGAAAGTCTCCCCCTTATTAGAATATATTACCCAGACGTTCTATAAAAATGATATGTAATCCCTGAATAAGAACGTGAAAATTCTGAATTGCGATTGACTGCCACTTGTATGAGAAGTCTTCTTAGAGGAATTAACCCTTCTGTGCCGGTGGCAACCGAATAAGGAGTTAAAAGATTTTCTGTGAAGTTCAGGTGTAAACATTAATGTAACACAGGACTTTGCAGTACATTAATGATTATGCTTGTAATACACGCACTCGACCTTTTAAATAATTAATGTCTCAAAACCCAAAGTGATTTTAGAAGCACAGCTGGAACTACCAATACTATCCTTTAGAAATTTTTATCAGGAAAACAAAAGTATCCCAAAACAAGCTCAAATCATAACAAAGCAATAGCACTTCATAAAATATACAAACTCTAAAAAGGAAGAGTGGTATAAACAAATACACTCTAATAAAATACTTAGAACTTAGATCAACTGTTCCCCACTAGTACAGAATGACAACTGAATTACAGTAGAAAGTTAGATGAAACAAAGATGGAACCCTAATTCATGTAGGTAAGGCATACGCCACAAAAATCAGACTCAAATTATTTCAGGTTACTAGTTTAACACAACGGTTTTCTAAATCTATTAACACTGAGCAATTTCAAAGCAGTAAGGGTGAAGCAAGCGTCCCTTAAATTCTTAATACTAATGTTTAGTTTTGCTTCTTTTAATTTAACATTGAATTAAATATTCTCTACAGGCATAAATTTTCTTAGTGCCAGAAACCAATTCACCCAAGTATAAAATCTGACCATTCAAAAAAAAAAAAATTCAAAACTGCCTCATTTAGAATTTAAAAGGTGGTTATTAAAACTGTTCCTGGGGGCTGGCCCGGTGGTGCAGTGGTTAAATTTGCACGTTCCGCTTCAGCAACCTGGGGTTTGCCAGTTCGGATCCCTGGTGTGGACATGGCACCTCTTAGCAAGCCATGCTGTTACCACGTATACCACGTATAAAGTAGAGGAAGATGGGCAGGGATGTTAGCTCAGGGCCAGTCTTCCTCAGCAAAAAGAGGAGGATTGGCAGCAGATGTTAGCTCAGGGCTAATCGTCCTCAAAAAAAAAAAAACCTGTTCCTGAATGAGACAGTCACCTTCACGACCACTGCTAGCTCCCTGCAAACAGAACAGACCATTTTTTAAGCTTATCATACTTTTAAAAAGCTATTTGATAGGGCCAGCCCCATGGCATAGTGGTTAAGTTCAGCATGTTCCAATTTGGCAGCCTGGGTTGGCAGGTTGGGATCCCAGGTGTGGACCTACACTGCTCATCAGCCACACTGTGGCAGTGACCCACATATAAAGTAGAGGAAGATGGCACAGATGTTAGCTCAGGGCTAATCTTCCTCAAGTAAAATTTTTAAAAAGCTATTTGGAATCAGGCAATGGGGGTCATGACATTTACCTTACTGTTCACAAAGTGCTTCTATATGTTACTACACTTGCATCTCACAACTTAAGATAGCCAAGTCCATTAAGGAAAATGGCATCATTATTTCCATTTCACAGATGACAAAAGGCTCAGAGAGGTTAAGTGACTTCCTCAAGGGGCATTATGCATCAGGCACCACTGGCGACCGGATCTCCTAGTTCCTACATCAGTGCTCTTTCTACTCCAGTCTGACAACTCTCATCTCTAAGTCCTTACATATAAAGCATTTTGAACATGTAACTTTAATTTGTAGGTGGTTTTGATCTAGAAACCAGAGTACCAGTGGCTAACATAAGTCTTACTAAAAGCACAAGAATAAAAGGTCAGGTATTTTAATTCCTAATACTCAACTAACCAATTCTGTGGTCATGGATAACTCAGGCTTTCAGAGTCTTAAATATGGATTACAAAAAATGGCTCCAATTAAGAGAAACAGCCAACAATAATCAGATTATAAAACAACAATGACCAATGAAAATTTTCTATTATTGAAAAATATCGAAGAAACAGAAGACTCTCTCTCTATGCATATATATGTCTCAGAAAATGTCATCTTTGGACAAGAGTTACAACTTCTGTGATTATTTTTAAAGGAAAGAGATCATTTCTGTACATGTGTCAGATATAAGGTACTCATTACACATTTTTTATAAGAGTAAACATCAAGATATACAGTGATAACCTACACAGAACTGATATTATTTGCTAAGTAAGCTGAGTACAAACTATATGGCAAAAAAACCTAAAAGAAAGAAATTGTGGAAATCTCCAAAAATATTCTTAATTTTAAAACACTGAGATAAGACATATTGTACATTTCCTATAATAAATTAAATCGCACTTGAAAACAACTGAAAAATATTAGATTTTTTTTCCCTCACCATTACCAGCTTTCATATTATGGTCAATAATAGAATAAATTATTGAACACTCTATTTAGGGGGAAAACATCCAAAGTGAAAACAAAGTTTTTTGTCCAGCTTTACGGAATATCTTTAAAGACACTTCAGCAGAATGATTATTAATGGAAAATTATAACTGTACGAACCTGCTTATTTTAAAATCAATTTAAAATATTAGAAAAACTAGATTTGACTATGCAAAAATACTTTTAAAGTGACTACTTACCCAAAATATGCTTGCAAACTGCAAATGGTGATTTTGATTTCCTAAATGATAAGAATATGTGCTCTGCATGCTGGCGTTGTTCATTATTGACCATGGAAGGTGGTGCCTTGAGAGTTAAAAAACAAAAACAGAGTACACTGGTTTAATAAGAAAGCTTGAACAATAGCAATCCTTTTACCCACAACAAGAGAAAATACTTTCACTTCTGGGGGTAGGGCATAGGCAATGGGAAGACAAATTTTTGTGTAAATTTTTTTAGGAACTATAGCATAAAACTTTATAATAAATATTTATAATATAGTTTCAAGAAAAAAGAAGAAATTCTGGCAAGGTTTGGGTCAGAATACTTTAAAGTTGTCTACATTTTAGAAAGATTGATACTTATCTAATATTTTTTGTTTTTTGGGTTTTTTTTAAAGATTGGCACCTGAGCTCACATCTGTTGCTAATCTTCTTTTTTTTTCCCCTTCTTCTCCCCAAAGCCCCCCCAGTACATAGTTGTATATTTTAGTTGTAGGTCCTTCTGGTTCTGCTATGTGGGACGACATCTCAACATGGCTTGATGAGCGGTGCTAGGTCCGTGCCCCAGGATCTGAACTGGCGCAACTCTGGGCCATGGAAGCAGAGTGTGCAAACTTAATCACTCAGCCATGGGGCCAGCCCCTGCATTCTTTTTAACATAGCTAACTTATTGCCTTTTATTCCAACATATACCACTCTAACTAACTTGACCAAATTCACATAATTTCTAAATTCTTCAGCACTGGTCAAACAGTCTAAAGTTACTAAAAATTGGTTTCTAAAGAAGTAGTCAGATAATTCTACCTCAAGTTTTCTAAAATCATCATTAAACCAGAAAAATTAGAGAACAGTAAAGTTTGAAATTTATGGAACTCCTATCTGAATAATAAACTAATCAGCCAGAAAAGCCAGACTTTTATCTTAACAAAAACAGCTTCTAAAGTCTATCCATGTTTTTAAATTCCATTTTGTTCTAACAATCTTTCATCTAAAGATAATACTCTTCTGAACCAGACCCACCTAAAACATACATTCCCAACATATGGTTTGGTTACATGTGACCTACTGAGACCTATCTTAAGAGAAGGGAAAGAGACTGCTTGTGTAGCCAAGCAATCAAAATACAGAATTCTCAATTTGGGAGGAGAGAGTAAGGGTAGATAATAGAACAATAAGCCTTTGTTACTGTAATCAATATAAAGTAGAGAAATCATAAATTCAACTATATTCAAAGAATCTGGAAGATGAAAGATTTTGAAACCAAGTATATTAGATCAATATTCTTTACAAACTACATCAATTATACAACATTACTAACTCTAATTTCAGTTAAAACAGTTAAAAAATATGAACATCCAAGAGAAATGAACTAACTTTGACACTCCGGCCTAAAGAAATTCTTACAATGAGCACTGAAGCCAGCTCAGACTACTATTCCTAATGATATAGCACCCTCTACAGCTCTCTAGATAAAAAGGAAAACACTTCCATTAAAGAATTGTGTTAAATTCTTTAATACATTTTTAAAAATGGATTTATTAATAAAATACTGTGAACAGCTAACTATGCTAAATATAAATATTTTTGTCCTTTCATTTGCAAATTCTTCAATCCCACCACTTCATGCCCTAATTCAACAAGTTGAGTTTGTGTTTTTACAAGATACTTCATCACTAATACCTGCTGACTACAACCTGAGTACACAGCATATTAGTAAACACCACTACCACATCCTATACTGTGATGAAGACAAATTGACTATGGATTACCCAGAGAATTTCTGAATCATACACTCTTTCTCCAGGAATCATACATTCTTGAAAAGCACTACACATGCATAATTTTGCAAATTAACAAGCTAGTTATTCTACAAACCAAAACAGTTCCTAAAGCTGATGATCTTTGGATACCCTGATATCCGCACACTTAATAAAATCTAGATCTGAATATAATTTTAATATAACAAAAAACGATATTCCATTTAAAATATCAGATTTCATAAATAATAAATTATAATCTAAAAATTAGTTTATATTAATCACCTGGTTGAACATTATCATACAAACAATAAAATCATTAAGTCAATACATTAAATAGCAATATGGTATTCACTTTAGTTTCCCAAAACCAAAACTTTAAATTCTTTCTTCTTGAAAATGACTGGGCAATGGTTTCCCAATAGCAAATTATCTGCATCAGAAAGTCCTCAGGAACTTTTTTGTAAAAAAAACAGACTTCCAGCGCTGAAAGATTCAACAAGCTGGGAGTCAAAAACCAAAAATACGTATTTTTCCCTTAAAGTTCTCCAAGTAGCAATGACCTATAAAACCTTTACGTGTCAAACTCCTTCCTCTTCAGAAATCAGAACTCAGCTTTCAAAACCCTGCTTTAGCGCCCCCTTCATCAGCCTTTCCTGACCCTCCTCCTGTGGGCCTGAGCACAAATGGGGTCTCTATCCCACCTCACACGACGCACCACTTACCCAGCTTATCACAATGTAGTGTAAGGATTTATTTGCTCCTCTTTCCTTTTCTCTATTAGTTTGTTGTTGTTGTTGTTGTTGTTGTTGTTTGAGGAAGATTAGCCCTGAGCTAATAACATCTGCCGCCAATCCTCTTCTTTTTGCTGAGGAAGACTGGCCCTGAGCTAACATGCGTGCCCATCTTCCTCTACTTTATATGTGGGACACCTACCACAGCATGGTGTGCCAAGCAGTGCCATGTCCACACCCGGGGTCCAAACCGGCAAACCCCTGGCCGCCGAAGCGGAACATGCGATCTTAACTGCTGCACCACCGGGCTTGCCCCTCTCTATTAGTTTTTGACACCAGGGGCTTTATTTTACTCATCTCTAAATTCCTAGGGCTTAGCACATATAAAAGAGAGAAGCAATAATAATAATATCAACAACTAACAGTTACTGAGTAACTCAGCATTGCAAGACATTATTTTCCATAGATAGATAGACGGATACAATCTCATTAATTCTAACAACCACCCTACGAGGTAGGTCTTATTATCCCCATTTTACAGATGAGGAAACTGAGGAATGGAGTTATGCTCAAGGTCAAGTAGGAAGCAGAGGTGGAAACTGACCCTGGGGCCCTAACTCTTTAACAGAAACTACCCTTAGGTGGCTCCACATTATGTAAAACTCATCATGCTTAACGCTCAGGGGGGTAGAAAGGAAGCAAATCTCCCCTTAAAAGTCTTCCCCTAGGGGCCAGGCCAGTGGCACAGTGGTTGGGTTCACACATTGCACTTCGGTGACCCGGGGTTTGCCAGTTGAGATCCCGGGTGCGAACCTACACATCGCTTGTCAAGCCATGCTGTGGTGGGCATCCCACATAAAAAGTAGAGGAAGATGGGCACGGATGTTAGCTCAGGGCCAATTTTCCTCAAAAAAAAAAGCACTTCCTCTAGACCCAGTATAGACATTAGTGTTTTATATAACCTGTGAAGTTTCAGTAAAGAAATAATAAAGAAGTCTTTTTGTATTGCCTGTTTATATTCTCTCATTGTCACTAATAATGAAAGCTTTAAAAGAGCTCACACTGCATAGAAGAATCAAATGAATCAGAGGAGCCAGAAGCAACAGGAGGTGGTAGGAGAGAACAGTGACGGTGAGAAAGGAACGAGCAGGAGACCAATTCCAGGTACTTCAGGAAAATAAAGGCAAGGATAGGGCAAGCTTGAAAGATGTTTTAAGCAGTCATACAAGCAGAAGACATGAGGCTCACAAATTCCTAACTCAGTATAGTGGTGTTTCTGGCCCCACCATTCACCACGCCACTGGCCTAACCCAGCCACCTTCAATTTACAATACTCTCCAAGAAACAGCATTAGTAGCTCAGAGCCCAGAGAATCTAAAGTGGGAACTCTGGAGATTATTTACTGATGAATGGATTAAATGACATATTTAATGAGTTTTTAGTAGAGAGAGAGAGAGAGTGTGTGTGTGTGAGTATGAGTGTGTGTGTGTGTGTGTGAGAGAGAGAGAGATCAAGAGAACCAAAGTTCCTAAATAATTTCTATTCAAAAGTACTTACTGAAGGCTGACTATATGCCAAGCACCATGCCAGAAGCAAGGGATACAAAAGTGAGGAAAACAGTCCCTGCCCTTACAGAGTTCTGAATATATTAGAAAAAACAGTAATCAAATAGTCACACAAATAATTTTAACAGTCTATAATTTCTGCCTCTATTAACTGCATTCTGGCTTCTTCCCCCTTCGTGCTACTAAACTTGTCCTCAAAAAGTCAGGAATCTGGGGCCAGCCCCACGGCTGAGTGGTTAAAGTTCTGCATGCTCCACTCTGGTGGCCCAGGTTCACAGGTCCGGATCCCAGGTGCAGACCTGCTCCACTCATCAGCCATGCTGTGGAGGCATCCCACATACAAAGTAGAGGAAGACTGGTATAGGTGTTAGCTCAGGACTTAAAAAAAAAAGTCAGGAATCTCAATTGTCAAATCTTATGGAACCTTTAGATTCCTTCTCTCCCTAGGCAGCTATAATGATAACTTTTATTGCTGTTGTTAACAACAACAATAGCACCATTTATTTGCCATGCAGAGTGCTAAATACTTTACGTTACATTCTCTCATTTAATCCTAGCAAAATCCCTGCAGTAGGAATTATTTCCTCTTTTACATACAGAGAAACCGAGATTCAGAGATTGTCACATGCCCAAGATCACAAAGTTAACAAGTATCACAACCAGAATTTGGTCTTAAGTCTGTGAGACATCAAAGCCCATGATTTGAAATTCTTTTAAGTATTATTGTTGAGGATACATAGTTGGGTAAACTACTCTCTCTCAGATAGTTACTAGAGAAATCTGAATACTAATATTTTTGGCTTACTATAAATATCATTATTTATAAGACCATGAAAAAACAAAAGTAAGGATATCAGAATCAGATTGAAAAATCATGCACGACTTGTAGACAGGAAATAAGCTACAAAAATAGAAAAGAAAACTTGTTTTGAAGTCATGCCATAGAGCTCATATTAAGGATTTTCTTAGCTCTAATTCCTCACTCATCTTTTAGAGCATGGTTTAGTGTTCAACTTAAAAAATCAGAGA